CCTACAACCCCCTTTTTGTCGCATTCCATCCTTTGCTGAAGGTAAGGGACATGATAGATCAACCCCTTGATGGCCCCCTCCCGCCTACGCTACAGCCGTGGGGTATCCCCTGTCCATTATTTCGCCTACTGATGTTTATTGATTATTTAATTTACATTTTTTATGAATAGCAACCCTTATACCGTATTATGAATAGCGACCCTCATTTCATATTATGAATAGCGACCCTCATTTCGTTTTATGAATAGCGACCCTCTACTCCTATTATGAATAGCGACCCTCTTCTCGTATTATGAATAGCGACCCTCATTTTGCATTATGAATGGCGAACCACTAGTCGTATTATGAATAGCAACCCTCTTTCGTGTTATGAATAGCGAACCTCATTTCGCATTATGAATAGCGAACCTCTCCTCTTATTATGAATAGCGACCCTCATTTTGTATTATGAAATGCGACCCTCTACTCCTATTATGAATAGCGACCCTCATTTCGTATTATGAATAGCGACCCGCTTCTCCTATTATGAATAGCGACCCTCTTCTCCTATTATGAATAGCGACCCTCTTCTCCTAAGAAAAGCGACCCTCTTCTCCTATTATGAATAGCGACCCTCTTCTCCTATTATGAATAGCGACCCTCTTCTCCTATTATGAATAGCGAACCTCATTTCGTATAATGAATAGCGACCCTCTTCTCCTATTATGAATAGCGAACCTCATTTCGTATTATGAATAGCGACCCTCTTCTCCTATTATGAATAGCGACCCTCTTCTCCTATTATGAATAGCGACCCTCATTTCGTATTATGAATAGCGGTCCTTATGATTAATGACCCTTAATATGAATTATGAATAGCGACCCTCATCTCACGTTATGAATAGCGGTCCTTATGATTAACGAACCTTATTTCTTTATGAATAGCGACCCTCTTTTGCCATTATGAATAGCGGAACAGGAAGTACGGGAATTTACATGTTATGAATAACGGTCCTTATGAATAGCGGACCTTATGAATAGCGGTCCTTATGAATAGCGAATAGACCCCGTTTTTATAAAGACTAGTCACATACCCCCATCCTAGTTGTTACACGACTCACTTTATGCAAATATCTTTTAACAAGTGACCCCGCAACATTACCTTTGTTCCTTTGTTTCTAAACACCTTGAACTCATGAACCCGCTTGACTCCTCGCAGTCCGTGTCACGAGTTTAACCATCACACATCTCCTCTTCGCCTCCTGTTTTACAGGTAATTTATCATATTCTGTATTATACTTATTTTTAAGTAAATCATTATTATCATGTTATATAACTTTGTGCGGTTGTACTGATGTATGCATGGATTTGTTTTGATTTGTACATATCGTTTTTTAATGGAAGAATTTAAGATCAGAATGTGTAGCTTTCTTTCAACTTTCTACTTTCAACTATTTGTGAAGCGTTATACTGTATGGGTGCATGGTACCCGCGAATATATATATTTCACATTGTACATAACTATTTAGCTTTCTTACTTAAAGATAATTATGAGCTAATCAGTATTTTGTCGTTTATGAACCACTATTGTGATTCTAGTTAGCATTTGACATATTCTAGTTGGGGAAATATTATTACGATTTTCAATATTTGATTTGATAACGTTTTGAGAGATTTCCATCTCAGAAGGAGATAACTAACCTTCGATTTGACAATGAACCGGCCAGATTTTGCTAGTCTATTAGTCCGTACTTTCTTAAATATGTATCGAGTTATTATGTCGTTTATTTTGTTTAGGATCTTACAATACCATGTCAAGAGAATAATCATGTTTATATGTGTTCCGATATATCAGGGATTGGTGTGGAATTGGCGTACAATTTATAATCATTTATCTACGATACGTTGGTGTCTGCGTGATTAGACTATGTACGCTCATGGTGGCGGTCTCCTGCGTTTTCTGTAATTTATCTTATTTTTTTCATTGAAATTATATTTGTGTTTGTATGCATCTTATTTAATGTACTTAAAAAATGTATAATTATGTAAAATGAAGGAATATTTGTTACTTTATGTATATGATTATGTTCTATTTTGAAAATGCAGAAATAAAAACAAACAAACAAAAACAAACGTTCACACGGTGTGTACACTATGAACATAACGGACAAAGAAAGCGGACAAAATATACAGTTCCTCAGGTAGACAAAGGAACATCCCTTCACTGCTATTATGTAAAACGGTGAATATGCATGTGACACCTGTTCTACACATGTTTACATAATAGCAGTGAAGGGATGTTCCTTTGTCCTCCTGAGGAACTGTATATTTTGTCCTCTTTCTTTGTCAGTCATATTCATAGTGGTATGTGTAGGGTGTGAGCGCATCGTTGAAAACAAAGAAAGGATTACTAGTACCATTACAAGTACTACCTTGACAAAGAGGAACTTGGGCTTTTAGGTTTATTTGTCTCAACTCTGTAATCTGTATAGAGCAGGTACTAGTAGCTGAAGCAAATATGCTTTAGCCATCACTATTATATATGTATGAGGGGGTTTTATTATGGTCCAAAATGTTCATGTATCTTTACAGTATGAATTAAGTTAGAGAACAACAATTGTTGTTCATTTGCACGATATATGTCCAGTTTACTATATATCTATATCATTCAGTAGTCTCCAGTTGTATATTATTAGTCAGACATGTATAAATCTATTTAGTCTATTCGTATTATGTTAGTTATAGTTTCTTCGTTATAATTAGTTAGTACATATTTGTTATCGTCTTGTTTACTTTATTTAGGTTTAGTCGAGTTATACGTTTCGAGTATTTGTTATTAAGTTAATGGTTACTATACATTATCCATTCTAGTGAATGATAAGTCTTTGTTTGGTTAAATATTGGAAAGGGACATGTTGTTGATATTTACTTTGCTATTTCATCTAATGGCTAAGTTTGGATGTAAACCTATATATTAGTAGGATAGGAACTATAGATGTGTATTTGTGGTTTGATTATGTGAGTTTGTTTGTTGAATACGAATATTCAATTATGTTTGATACAAGTTATTACTTGTTATTAAAAGGCAGTCCGTGTCACGAGTTTAACCATCACACATCTCCTCTTCGCCTCCTGTTTTACAGACTCATCCCATCTCTATTTTTGGTACCCTACTATAAATTATAAAAGTAACGAGGGCTACATGTGTATTTACAAACAAAAGATTTTAGTTATCAGTCGGTTTCATATCCCCTTTTGAATGGTTTGAAATGCCATCACATTTATATACACTAAACTCATTATAATTTGAGAAATAATAGCTTTGCAATTATGTTCATTCTTTTTGGGATTTCGTCTGCTTGGGCAGTATTGGTCCATTATGTGACGTCATTAAAACATCGTTATTTTTCTGGCGAATCTCTCGTATATCCCGGATGCTATGGAGGTGGTTGTATTTGTATCTTTAAATCACCCGATATGTAGTTGACCTAAAACTTGTACGATGGCCATCTGTTAGTTTACCAGTTTCTAGTGGTACATTAGTTTACATAATTTGTGATTTTGTTTGAATTTCCACTTTAAGGGATAACATATTCAAGGGCACCAGAGCTAATAATTCAGAAACGTGTAGCAAATGTACAGTAGGTGGCGAGTTCAACTAATGACCAATCGTAAAGAAATTAAAAGTAGATAAATGTAGAAGAAGCGAGCGAGCAAAACAGGGAGAATTTCATTATTGCAAAAATGGTATTCTGTCATTTCTATGATAAGAAATAAAAAATAAATATTAGGGCATCTCGATATCTCGATATCTGGTTGTCTGGAATCCACCTTTTAAAAATCATCATTAGTATTATTTTATTGCTTTAATTTTAAGAATGAATGAAGCGAGCGGGGGAAACAGAAGACACTTCACTGGAGTAAAATTTCATTCCGATATAACAGCGCACTAGATAAGGTTTTTTTTTCTCGGGAGTCTTGCTTCCGGAGTATGACGATATTCGGCTATAGCGAGGTGCTCAAATATCGTCACGTGGGTTCATTCTTGCTGTTGTCTGAAACCATACCGGGGGGGGGGGGTGTTTTAAAGGTGAACTTATCTCTAAGTTGGACTTGACATTTCACACGGAGATTTCTTTAAAAAGGGGGTCTTTTTTCTTTTTTTCTCTCATCTCTTTGGACTCCTGAGAAATTATTCCGAATTTAGGGGGGGGGGGGTACATTGAGCATTTTTCATGATTTAGGGGGGTCGCCAAGGCAGGAAAAGCCCGCGAAGGGGGGGGGGGGGGTTCGGAAATGTTGGCAGTCCTCAGGTAGGGGGTGCTTTCAAAAAGAGGGTACAAGCATATGCGTACCCTAAATAACACTGAGTTGGGGGGGGGGGGCGGGATATATACATAGGACTGAGTTATGACCTGATTCCCTATTGGGGGTAATTAATGTGGGCGGTAGAACTTAATGTTCAGGATTATTCCTAGTTTTGCTTACGTGATTTGTAATTCCTTATCATTCTACAAACTTTAAAGAGCGCCTATACGGTCCTCGCAAAAAAAACTTGGCCCTTTATCACTAATACAACTTCGCATTACATAATCGTCTTGTTTGGGGTAAATATTATGTTGCATGGTAGTTGATTTCTTCCGAAATTTCAATTCTTAACGTTTTCTTATCGGAAAGACTTTGTAACAATATAAACAAAATAGTGCAGTGGCGTAGCATGGATATACAAATATTGAGGGGGCACCATCATGGGGGTGGGGGGGGGGGGGAGGGGGCGATATTCCTCATTTGATGAAATGCCAGTTAAAAAATAATTAATTCGGGGAGAATACGGTGTTGGGGTATGTCTTCTGTTTTCATCTTCTATTTACCTTAATTCTCCTTTAGTTTTCTTCTTGTTCGGCCATTTGATTAGGGGGTAGGCCTACATAATGACGTTCCCCTGTACACCCCCCCCCCCCCCCCGCCCCCGGATCTACGCCTAACTCAGAATGGTATTTAAGTAGGGGTGTTGTGATGGGCTCAATAATCACATATACATCAGTGTAACGCCAGGTTTTATCTGTATCGTAAGGAAAAAAGCTCTAGCTCTGAATCTACTGGAAACTTTATCTCGGACGAAGGACTATAGCATATAGTCAATAGGTAGGTCCTTTTTTAATACAACTATTAATTCCGTCTTTTCGATAAACTATATCTTTTGTCGTCTTTCTTTCCTTTTTAGATTATTCTCTTGTTTGAAATGGCTAGCTACAGTCTGAATGCATACCGGTACTGATATTTTCGAGGGAAAAAAACGAAAAAAAAGCAAACAAGGCTACCTAGCTGTTGCTTAATTTGTTGTTTTGAAAGATCCCTTTATATCTTGAATGTTAATTTTTAATGAAGTCAGTAAATATTGGTGTATGTATACAGATTACACTTACATTACACGATTCCACTTTAATTGATTCATCTATTTCCCTTTTCGTTATTATTATCCGTGATTACTTTGCTGAATTATGCTTTCTTTCAAGGAATTTGCTGGAATCCGTTTTACGAGTCGATAAATGAACATTTCCAAGGACAATGATGTCTTCTAAATGGTTTTGTGTTGTCATGGCAGCCATCGCTCTATTTGGCAGGTAAAAACAATTAAATTATTTCTCACACGTCTGATAAGAAACAGAAGGGCATTCACTGTTTAAAGAAAGATCGAACGTACAAAGGAGGTTGACAAACCGAGGTTTATGTACGTCATATGACGCGTTTTGACGCGTTTTTACAAACCAGGTTAAAAACGCGTCGAAACGCGTCATATGACGCACGAAAACCAAGGTTTGTCGACAAACCTCCTTTGTCAATTCGGGCCATATTGTATCTCACCAAGAGTGCAATTTATAGAACCTATACGAGATTTCTTTGAAAAAAATGCATCGACTTTTTAAACAGCAATATCTTTTTTTAAAAATACTCATTCCATATGGATCTCCGTATGTGGTGTTGTACGCGATTTTCTAGATTTCATGTGGTCTTTCCTGTGAATTAATGGAATGCAATGTTTTGTTTCTCTCTCACTCTCTTTTTGTCTCTGTTTCTCTGTCTCTCTATCTCTTCCCCTTCTCTCCCTTCTCCTCCCCAGTGTCGGCTATAGGTTTTCATTTGTATTTGTTTATATTTGTTTTGAAGGGAGGGGGTGCAGGGGGGAGGGGTCAATCCTTCTCAAATAGTTTCAAGCTTCAAAAAAAAAAAAAAAAAAAAACGCGAGGCACTTGAAGAAAAACAAATCCAAGAATCCCCCTTCCCACCTAAAAGCGGAAAGCCCCCCCCCCCCCAAAAAAAAAAATGAATTCAATATGTAATATTTAATATCCAGCTTGTTTCCTTTGTTTAAATTTCAGGGGAGACTGTCTGAGTTGTATCTGTCATGAGGATATATACCCACTAACACCAGAGGAATGGAGAGCCCAGAACTGTCCCGTGGATGTCCAGTGCCCAGCCGGTTCTCAGGTCATATGGGATATTTGCTACTGCTGCAAGAGCGAGTGCTCCAAGGTAAGGAACTCTTCTAGAAAATACATGTATAAGGCCTTAGAAAAAGAAAAAAATGTTGTATTGCCCTTTAGGTGCCAAAACATGGGTCGGTCGGTCGGAATTTTTTTTTTAAAGTTTTTTTACTCCCTCTTTGGGGCTGATCTTTTTCAGTTTTGAATACTTTAAATACATTTTCCTCCTAAAAACACCGGTATAAACAATTCTTTTTTTTTAAGCCGACCGTAGATTTTAGGGTCGGTTGCAAAGGGCAGTACAACATCTTTTTTGGTTGGCCTAATTAATGCCTCAGTCACACATTTGTGTATTTGGCTTGCGCATTGCTGCGTATTTATGGCAAGCCGTTTTAAATTTATTCCTATTTCTTGATATCATGAAACGATTTTCTGTTGTAAAGCAATGGTAATTCTTGATATCAAGACTGCTTGCCATAAATGCGCATCAATACGCAAGCCAAATACGTAAATTAGGTGTGATTGAGGTATAGCCTGGCTAACTCACTTATTAAAAATTCATGTATGTATTCCAGTACATGTACCTGGAACCCAGTCTAGATACCTTCATTGTTGCTATGTCGGAAAATCCTCGGGTAAGCCTTCAGGTTTTCAAGAACAACCTATGTTTAAAAAGTATGCGTAACATATTTTGAACATGTTAGTGAAGCAGTCTATTCAGGGGTCTATAGGGGAGGGGGCACTTGTCTGACTAATGAAAAATAAGGCAAGCGATCGACCTATCACCTCCTTAAAGACTTGCTGCTTCTGAGGTGCATTTATGTTAAAAAACTTCTCTTTCGAAAAAAAAAGTATAATTGTCATCCTATTTTGATGTGGTCAAGGAGGCTAAATAGATTCCTGTACAAATAAGGGCCATTTTAAAAAGTATTACTTACATATAGAGCCCCCTTCCCCTAATCGATTCGCCACTGAGAAAAGACATTTAGTTTTACTTTAAGTTAATTGTTAAAAAGCTAGTTGCCTTCCGCTATTTCTCTCTGTATATATATTTATTTATATCTCTCTCCTTCTTCCTATCTCTCTCTCTCTCTCTCTTTCTATCACGTTCATTCTTCACGTGTACCCAGTCGGAAGGCGATGAGTGTGGTGGTGAGTGGGGCGAGGTCGGTACATGCGGGGATGGATTGGAATGCTACATCGAAGAGCCGGATACTTCCGAGTACAGGCCACCCATAGGCAACTGCGTCCCGCTGAAGCCCACCGCTGCCACCGCATCGGGTGGTGCAGACGTAACTGTACCATCCGGTGACGCAGGTGGCGCTACAACAACAAAGCCGAGGACGAGGATGGGATGCGGCAAGAAGCAAATGGCGCTGATGGGAGAGGAGGAAAGGATGAAGTGTGAGGAGGCGAGGAAGATGCGAATACAGAAGAGACGGGAGAGAAACGGCAAACGAATTAATAATCCTCGAATTTAAGTTCATGCTATGTTCGAATATCGGGCATATAGAGATCTATTACTGTCTTAAAAAATATAAGATGCATTGTCGCAATAAATTTGCCCCGATATATTTTGAGTCTTTCGATCTCCAGTTCGTTTAAACCCGTTGCATAAACTTACTATTGATAGTAACTTTGCCATCAATGGCAACTACCATGATAACAGGGCTCAACGGCCAATCAAAATCAAGGTTTACATGGTAGTTGCAAATGATGGCAAAATTACCACAAATGGTAAGTTTTATGCAACGGGGCCTTAGGGCGTTATCCTGAAAAAGAATGTTATTTTTTGTGCCGGTTAGAATTAGGATAAGTCATTGGTTATAATGTCGGTGCAAATCTGCATAAGCTTGCGTTCAGTTAAAAAGAGACGTCTACGCAAGCACGAATGAAAAGTGTGTGTTCAGCTCAATTTGAGTATCTTGTGTATTTTGAACAAATCAGAGTGAATATGAAATGTTCGAAAGCGTTTTCTATTTCATTGTGGATAGATTATATGACGCCCTACATTTTCCTGTAATGAGCATTATCAAAATCAAGATAATTATTTTTTGTATTTTGAATAAACCTGAGTATGAATGAAATGTTTGAATGTGTTTTCTATTACATTGTGGATAGAATGTATGACTTAGTGATCACAGAGAAGGAGAGAAAGAAACAGAAACCATGACAAGAATCAAAAGACAGAAAAAGACAGAGAGCATACAGAGATAGGAAAAGAGAAATAGGCCTACTGCAAAGAAAAAGAGAAAATGAGAAATAGAGAGCCTGTGAGAGAAGTATAAATCAACTAGATTAAACAGAAACAAATGTATACATACTCTTTTGAAAGCAGGCCATTGAACTTCAATGCAATTCAATGTATTTCTCCACAAATGCCAAACATAGGAAAATACATAAAATCAAATACATACATGCAATAAAACGACTCCAATTTATGTTTGAAATAGAAACAAATCAGCAAAGGTAGAAAGGGTAGTCGAGGACTACCCCCCCCCCCCAATAATAATAACAAATTATACAATCAAAAGTAAATATAAAGTCAAATGATGAGGTGGTACCAATAACGAGAAAGAAGAGGGAGAAAATATCAAAGACGGGGGGGGGGGGGGGGGAGTGCTTCCGTGAATGTTTAAAAAAAAAATAATGATGGATTACTTGAGTATCAGGAATAACCTTAACTTAGCCTCAATGAATACAATGAAGGACAATTTATATCAGGTGGAACATGACTCCATAACATATAGGCCAATTAAAGGCTTTCAGTTTTTGTAAGAAAGTCTTAGCTATTATGGGTATATGAAAACTAATACATTTCTTGCCATATAGAAGAGTTCTGTATAAAAAGGTCATCATAGACAGGTGGCAAGTTGTTATGTTTGTACTGGAACATGAATTGACCGAGCTGCATTAACATTTAAAATATTCATCCGTTTTAATAGGGGTGCAGTATGTGCACAACCCCCCCCCCCCCCCCCCACAAAAGTAGGTCTGTAGATTCAATAACCAGTGTGTCACTTTAACACCCGTCTTATATACACATGTGCATGTAGAGCTGTTGACTGTATAGTTAGAAACTAGAAATAATAAAAACATTTCTTTTTTAAACATCACTTTATTGTTCAATCTTGCACAACAAAGAAGAAGATACAAAAGCCCCGGACAATTCCATTTTATTGGAAAATGCAGGGCATTTAAAGTACATACAGTGTATAATGTTATATAACATCAACAAAGTAAAAGTATAGGATAAATTGATGGCCTGCCTGAGCCAGCTAGCCCAGCTACATATGTAGCTGCGCTGCATGCCTAGACTACCTACATGCCGGTGCGTGGGCCCGACCAGAGGCTATAGGCCTTCCTAGTCTTCGTACCGTAAATGCGCCTGTTGTGTAGTTTGCAGGCACAAACCCTGGTCAGTCTTAAAAGAGAGTCTGCACTATAAGACTACCATAGGCCATGTACTATAGCTGCTTCTGACACAACCAGTAGGTAGCTGGGCTCGGCTTCTCTCAAGGCACAATTATTTGTTAATAAAGTGTTAAAATAGGGTCTGTGCTTGCAGACTACCTGTTGCGCGTGCGTGTACTACTGCACGGTTCAGGTGGTTGTGTAAAGTATCGCATGTATTCTGGTTGAATAACATTTGTGTCGAATAAAATTTGTGTCGAATGAAATTTGTGTCGAATGAAATTTCGTGGCATGCATTATGTATGGGACGCCGAATAGCTCCTTTGTTGAATACATCTTTTTCATTGAATACCTTTATTGTTGAGTAAAAAGTAAAATAATTCCTTGGAATAATATTTTTGTAGAACAAAACAAAATGTGCCAATTAAGATTTTGTCGAACAAAATTTTTGTCGAATAAAATTGTTGTCGAATGAAATTTGTGTCGAATAAAATTTGTGTCGAATAAAATTTTTGTCGAATAAATTTGTTGACAAATACAATTTTTGACGAACAATGTGTCGAATGAAATTTATGTCGAATAAAATTCTTGTCAAATAAAACTTGTCAATATTTTCTGAAAGTGTCGAATATATACATTTGAGTGAAATATATTTTTTGTTTCCCTAAAGGCGTGCCATAAACGACAAGAAAGAAAAGAACTAGAGAGAAGAAATATTTGACAAAAGTACAATTTCTTCAGTGTTTTTAATGCAAATTCTACATATTATTACTCAAATCGGATTACAAAATAACATCTTCTTGAAAGACCTTTGAAGTAAGAAAAACTGAAAAAGAAAAGAATTCTACTAAAACTTATTTAACCATGACTTCTATTGGAATATAGGTAATGATTTGCACATTCAAGCAGACGATGTCCCATGACATCTCACACATTTTCAGTGCCTGTGTTTTTATCTTCTCTTGAGTTCTTTCTCTTACTTCACTACCGTCAGGCTAAATGTATAATATATTAAGGACTTTTAGATTTAGTGGACGAGAACACGACGAACGCCGACTGATCATGCGTGTCAACGTACTCAACTGCCCATTTCGATTACAATTAGAAATATTTTGGATTGCACTCGACGATATACATGCATGCAGGAAGTAACACTATGAACATGATGGAAAAAGAAAGAGGACAAAATATACAGTTCCTCTTTCTACCTTCAACAATTGCTGTGGTAGACAAAAGAACATCCCTTCACTGCTATTATGTAAAAATGTGTAGAACAGGTGAATATGCATGTGACACCTGTTACACTACACATTTTTTTACATAATAGCAGGGAAGGGATGTTCCTTTGTTTACCTGAGGAACTGTATATTTCATGCGCACGCGGCATATACTAATACCGTACTAGATTTAGGAAAATCAAGGTTGACGCATTCTCGATCGCCGACTGAGACGACGTGACGCATGCGCATTGCTTTAAAATGACGTCACACGTTGCAGTCAAAGCTGTCGACGTACAAATCTAAAAGTCCCTATTGCCTCACTCTAAACCCCGCGAATGTTTTTATTTTGATGACAAATGCAGCGATACAATAATAAAGGAATATGTCGCTTGTAAACAAAATAAGACGCCATTGTATATTCAGCTACACACACCGCGGTATGTTCGGCGTTTCATGAGGGAACAAATGCCGTCCTTAATATCATCCCGGGGGCTTTATAAATTGTGTGTAACAAGGTGACTGTTTTTATGGGTCAATGTCGCTATTCATAAGGTCCGCTATTCATAAGGTCCGCTATTCATAAGGACCGCTATTCATAAGGACAGCTATTCATAATTGGAGAAAAGGGTCATTATTCATAAGGTTCATTATTCATAAGGACCGCTATTCATAATCAGAGAAGAGGGTCGGTATTCATAATACGAGAAGAGGGTCGCTATTCATAATGCAAAATCGGGGTCGTTATTCATAAGGGTCGCTATTCATAATAGGAGAAGAGGGTCGCTATTCATAATACGAAATGAGGTTCGCTATTCATAATAGGAGAAGAGGGTCGCTATTCATAATAGGAGAAGAGGGTCGCTATTCATAATAGGAGAAGAGGGTCGCTATTCATAATACGAAATGAGGGTCGCTATTTATAATAGGAGAAGAGGGTCGCTATTCATAATACGAAATGAGGTTCGCTATTCATAATAGGAGAAGAGGGTCGCTATTCATAATAGGAGAAGAGGGTCGCTATTCATAATACGAAATGAAGTTCGCTATTCATAATAGGAGAAGAGGGTCGCTATTCATAATACGAAATGAGGTTCGCTATTCATAATAGGAGAAGAGGGTCGCTATTCATAATAGAAGAAGAGGGTCGCTATTCATAATAGGAGAAGAGGGTCGCTATTCATAATACGAAATGAGGTTCGCTATTCATACTAGGAGAAGAGGGTCGCTATTCATAATAGGAGAAGAGGGTCGCTATTCATAATACGAAATGAGGTTCGCTATTCATAATAGGAGAAGAGGGTCGCTATTCATAATAGGAGAAGAGGGTCGCTAATCATAAAACGAAATGAGGTTCGCTAGTCATAATAGGAGAAGAGGGTCGCTATTCATAATAGGAGAAGAGGGTCGCTATTCATAATAGGAGAAGAGCTATTCATTATGGGAGTAGAGGGTTGCTATTCATAATACGAAATGAGGTTCGCTATTCATAATAGGAGTAGAGGGTCGCTATTCATAATACGAATGAGGGTCGCTATTCATAATAGGGTCACTATTCGTAATATGAAATGAGGTTCGCTATTCATAATACGAGTAGAGGGTCGCTATTCATAATACGAATGAGGGTCGCTATTCATAATATGAAATGAGGTTCGCTATTCATACTAGGAGAAGAGGGTCGCTATTCATAATAGGAGAAGAGGGTCGCTATTCATAATACGAAATGAGGTTCGCTATTCATAATAGGAGAAGAGGGTCGCTATTCATAATAGGAGAAGAGGGTCGCTAATCATAATACGAAATGAGGTTCGCTAGTCATAATAGGAGAAGAGGGTCGCTATTCATAATAGGAGAAGAGGGTCGCTATTCATAATAGGAGAAGAGCTATTCATTATGGGAGTAGAGGGTTGCTATTCATAATACGAAATGAGGGTCGCTATTCATAATAGGGTCACTATTCATAATATGAAATGAGGTTCGCTATTCATAATAGGAGTAGAGGGTCGCTATTCATAATACGAATGAGGGTCGCTATTCATAATAGGGTCACTATTCGTAATATGAAATGAGGTTCGCTATTCATAATAGGAGTAGAGGGTCGCTATTCATAATACGAATGAGGGTCGCTATTCATAATATAGAGTTAGGGTCGCTATTCATAATACGGGATGAGGGTTGTTATTCATAAAATGAAATAGGCCTAAGCAATATCCAAAATGCTCATAACAAATGGAAATATTGGATGGAGGACACCCTCAAGGCGACACATGGCCCTGAATATTTGTCTTGTTTTTAAGTAGGTTTGAAATTTGTTATCCAATGTTATAAACATAATTGAGAATTTAAATCAATATCATTTTAATCATGAAACATCCTCAAGCTCACCTCCCCTCTACCCCTCCCCCCTCCCGCCGCCTTCGCCTTTATGATGACGACTCGGACATTCAGGTAGCGGA